CACTCTTTCTTTTTCTCCCCTTTCTCTTCTCCCTATATGTATCTCTCTCTGTACACTCTTTCTATAACCTTTCTCTTTTGCTCTGTCTCATTCTTTCCCCTGTTCTCACTCACTCTCTCATTCTCTCAGATTTCTTCACCATCTCTCCTTGAATGTCTCATTGTCTCATTTCTTCTTCCTCTCTCTCTTTATTTCTCTCCTGTATTTGTCTCCCCTTTTGTCTTTCCATCCCCTTTCTCTCTTCCCCTCTTTCTCTTTCTCTCTCATTCTCTCTCTCTCTAGCTTGGTCACTCATGTCATCCCCACTCTTTCTCCCCCCCTTCTCTTTTCCCTGTATGCATCTCTCTCTGTACTCTTTTTCTATCAACTTTCTCTTTTTCTCTTTCTCTTTCTTTCCCCTTTTCTCACTTGCACTCTCTCATTTTCTCAGATTTCTTCTCCATCTCTCCTGGTATCTCGCTCTCATTTCTTCTCTCTCTCTCTCTCTCTCTCCCTACCTACCTATCTCTCTTCTCTCACCCCTTTTTGTCCCTCTCCCTCTCCTTCTTTCTCCCTGCTCGCTCTTCCATCTCCCCTCTGCATCTCTCTTTCTGCCTCTCCCAGTCTCTCTCGTTTGTTCTTTATCTTCTCAAACACTTTCTAACAACTGCAGCCATAGACAAATAAGTAAATGCTTTCTGCAGTCTCCCTCTCTCCCTCTCTCTCTCTCTCTCTCTCTCTCTCTCTCTCTCTCTCTCTCTCTCTCTCTCTAAGAAGCCTCTTTGAAATTGCTGAGGGACACAGAGGCCCGCTTGCAAGGTGCGTCCCCTTGATCTCTCTATTTCTCTGTGAGATTTAATTAAAACTCCAGGCTGCCGCGGTGACGGCGGCAGGGAAAGCGACAACGGACGGCTGCTGGGTCGGACTGAATATTCCACACAGCCAGCGTCTGCCCAGCCCGTTCATCTGTTCTAATGAGCAATAATAGCCTGTCTAAGAGAAAGAGAGTCCTCAAAATCAGCCTATAAATAAACAGCCTTTTTAAACAACCACTCCAGAGTCCGCCCACACACACCCACACACGTGTAAACAAACACACACATGCGCACACACATACACACACGCGCACGCGGTGATATATTTACAATAAAGGGACGTCGCTACATGTAACACAGACGCAAGAACCCAAAAAATGACATCACCAGCACTTGGAAAGAGAATAAGATTAGCTTTTAAAGGGGGTGTGAAATGGAAATTGCTGGTGAGGATACAATTTCACAAAAAGGATAATCAGTATAAACACCGGTAGTGTTATTAAGTAGGCTTGATTTCCCTGGCAGGCATGTGTTACAGCGCAGGCAGCTAAAAATAGGCTACACTCCCCATTTATAATGAATGGTCAGAGACACTCGCACCAGCTCACTGTCTCTCTACCCCTCTCTCTCCCTGACTATGCTTTCCAGGAGCACTTGTCAGGACGATTCTGAGAAGCACTGTGCTCCATAGCAGTAGACAGCAGAATGCAGGCAGTCTTCTTCAGCCTGGGCAGTGTCTCTGCTCTTCTCAGGACATTTACAGGAGACTGACCAATAGGCCTGGTCACTCTCTGCTTGCTGACCTCAAAAAACATCTTATATATAAACATATACATGTTGACTACACAGTATTATGTTCACATATATATATATATAGCTGCATCAGAACAAAACCTTGTATCTCCATTTTTTGTTGTTTTTCAGTTTTTGACATAATTCGAAAATTCCTGTTGCCCTTTACATTTTGTGTATGAATGGACCAAAACAAATTGCCAAAAATGAAATGGGGAAAAAAGTCTGGTTCCACTGACTTACATTAAAAGCAAAGAAGGTTTTTTCCTTGTAAAGTCTCCTGTTAAGTTCTCATTCTGGAGATACGAGGTTTTGTTCCGATAGCAGTGATATATAGTCTGAACACTCCAAACTGGTACTTTCACAGGAGAAGGAAAAAAACATTCTTGTCTTTCAAACTTTCAATGTAAGTTAACGTAACAAGATATTATCTGAAGTCATTTTGGACTGCCTTTGTTCATAAAGAATTTTTGACACAACATAAATGCCAGCTGGCCTTTTTAAATTATGAAAAAAAAATTTAAAAAGACAAACTGCTGACAAATTGGGGGGTACATTTTATCTTAATATTCAATCCAGTAATCCAGTTTAATTAACTAACTGCAACAACTGATCTACATTTACTCATTGTAGATCACTGCTATCCAAAGTGACTGCTATCCAAAGTGACTTAAAAATGTTTTAGAACTGTTAGCCAAATTGATGAGATGTACCTAGAGAATCTGCAAGTGTTCATGACCTAAAAGATAACAGCCTAATCACAGCTTCATGTAATATACTATTAATGTAATCTTAATGTAATGTAAGGTGGACTTTTTAATAAGCAAACAGTAAACACGCCGAGCTCATAACACGTTTAAAGTGAATAAAATTAGTTTAATAGTATGACTGACGGCGTTATAGCTGGTTACAAATAATGGCTTTAATAAACTCTGACTGTGTTCCTGCAGTGACTGCACCTCATGCTCTCCAGACCAAGGCTGAGGACATACTGCTGCATGATACAGCTCACTGGAGGAAACAGAAATGAGTAGAAATAAACGTGTCCAGTGCTCAACATCTCAGTGCCCAATGTCCACACTGTGGAAAACAAAATCTTGTCAAGTGAAATTACCTAATATCAGTTCAATGAATCTTTTTTTCTCTGATAAGATTACTGGTCTTAGTATCAGAATATATTTTGAGAATAATCATCTTCGGTCTCACTTTCACCATATTTTAAGTCATTCATAGCACAAACAGTAACTCTAAGTTATTATGATTATTTTGTTAATAAGATTAAATCAGGGCTCTGTAACATGTTTCAAAAAGCAGCCTCTTCTTTCACTGACTTACTTTAAGGATATTAAGATGAGATTTGATGTTACTTGAAAGGTTTTGCAGTACTGAATTTAGGGGTCTAAGTTCATATTCTGATTTTCTGTAGCTTGGTATGCAGGCCCGGTTCATGACGTCTTAAGCTCAGTAAAGTTTATTATTCTGAGTCTCAGACTGCAAGTAAGAAGAGATGTGGCTGTGAGGAATAAAGTTATATTAAGTCCTTGTATCTTATTATTCTGCACGGAAACAGAATCTTTGATGCGATCATGTTTAAAATGCTACATCTACACATTTTCTTACTAGTTTTAAGACATTTGGGGAGATGTGAGGGACTAGATATTATTGTTTATTTGAAGAAATCTGAAAAGTTTTGCTTACCCCATTGACAGATTTTTTTGCTAAAGTTAAGCATTTACATCTCATTTTTAATATATTTCTGGCTTTTGTGAATGACTTTTTGCAGGGCAATGCATTATTAGTACATTGTAATATTCACTGATTATTTGTAATAATTAATGTACTACTCGTTGTTTAAAAGAATAATAAAAATATTACTCACTATAAAAACAATGCACTTAATTAAATCATTCTTTAGAATGAAAAATGAAGTTACCAGTGATAAATAATTAAACAAACGATTATATAAATTATTTTAGCCGATTTGTCATTACAAAGAGAAAATGTTAAAGGATGAATGTATTCCTAAAATGCGGTAAAACTATCTAAAGATATATACACACACACCCACACACACATACACACACATACACACACACGCATACACATACTTCGTAGCTCACTTCCTCTTTGTAATCGTGGCTGTCTTTCTGCCTCAGTGGGCTGGGTTATTGGGCAGAAACCTCATTTCCTGCACAGCGATCACCCTCAACAAGATCACAGGACATTTAATTGAACTTGGACACACACACACACACACACACACACACACACACACACACACACACACACACACATGCATCTCTCTCCCTCTTTCTCTCTCTCTCTCTCTCCCACACACACACACACACACACACACACATACAGATGTCATTCTCAAAATCATAAACAAAAACACTTGCTGAGGCTACATGATAATAAGGCAATTATTTACTGAGCTGTCCTTGAACTACTGCAAGTGTTTTCAATTGAATGTTATCATTACGGAGACAAATTAAACAAAAATACATTAAATGCTATTGTTTGCAAGTAGCTCTGTTGCTGTATGCAAAAGAGTCTAATACTCAAAATAATTATTTTTACGAGTCAATGCTAAGTTGAGATTGAAAAATTAATCAAACATTTATTTATAAAGGAACACTTTATAAAAGCATGCTCTTGTTTGTTTATGTTAATTAGACAGCTGAAACAATTACATTTAAAAAGCATAAACAACACTATAAAAAAGTAGATTTCTACAAAGTGCATATCTGGACAATTCTATTAGTTCAAACTGCATTCCCACAGCACAAAAAAACCCTAATTCTATATAAAAAGCACTTTTTAAAAGTTTTTACAAGTATGATGTTATGATCCACTTAAAATCAAGGCATTAACTGAAACAAAAAAATCATCATTCATAGGACATTTTCTACTGGGAGGTGGCTGTCACAAATCACCTTTATATGTTGTTTTTAAAAATATTTATTTGATTTCTTTTAGAGTGAAGTTGAAATATTTAGATCTGTCATTAGTTTGATTCCTAATTAAAAAACAAATAAAAGAAACTTTAAACTTTATTCAAACATTGCTGTCTCATGTTTTCATGGCACTACTGTAACAGTAGTGATGAGTAACTGATTAGTTTTAGTCCATGGGTGGAGTTATTTTAGCCACACCCCTGCATTTTAGAGGTCTTGGCCACATGATGAGCGGTTAGATGCCATTGTTTTAAAGTCTAAAAATCAGTGTACAACATTAAGAACTATCACTACTCACATATTTTCTGCAATTATGTAAACCTCTTGTGTTTTAATGAATATTAAAAAATATTATGATTTTATTATTAAACCTTAAAATAAATTCAGTAGAATGATCCATCCAAGAGGTTCAAAACATTATAGTTATCATTGCATATTATACTACTACTACTACTACCACTACTACTACTACTACTACTACTACTACTACTAATAATAATAATAATGGGCTTGCAGATACTACAAATTTACCTGCAATTAACTGAAGTCACACAGGGTAAAGTGCATATGATAAAAGTAATTCCACATAGCAGTGATGCCACTAAACTAAGACTGCAGTTTCCTCCTGCACTTCATTTTCCATCGTTTTTCCCCCTAGAACTGTTGCGCTGGAGATGCTGAGGTGAATTTATTTACAGCACGGTTTAGGCTGCCAGTGATTGATGTTACTCCACCAAACAGTAAACCAATTAGAGGCATGATGTAATGTCATTTTAAAAGGGTTATAATCGCGTTGCTCTTGATCAGACGTAATGGGCCCCTGATCAGACATAATAAAGATTTATAGTAGATCAAAGGAGAGGCTAATACCATTAACAATAGATTATATTCCAGCAGAAATTACATTAACAGATTTTTTTCTCCATCTCTTTGCTAAATATATCGCCTGGATTGCAGATTTCGATGCAGGGTGAGAGTTTGGAGGGCTCTGCAGCACAGAAAGAGCATTAATTACTCAAAATGAGCACAGCTGCGCTACGGCAACTCATAGCCTTGTTCCATCTGCAGAGGCAGAATAAAGCAGAGCATTAGCCAAACCTAACTTCAGATACCACTACAGACCTTTATATTGTAAAGATTCTAATATTTTACTCCTGATTAGTAGAACGATTTTGCCAAAACAATATTCAGTGATTTGAATGACATCCATTTCAGTCGAATACACTGAAGGAAAAAAAAAGCTCAGATGTGTACATCAACACAATTATAACCAAAAGTAAGTTAACACATGAACTGAATGCATAATTTGTAAACACTGTCCTAATGAGGACACTCTGCAGGTGCTGCCTTTTAGTAATAATAAGGAAAAGAAAAGAAAGAGTTACTTATTAGGTATCACCTCCACTCCATTAGAGAGCTCGCTGGATGAAACACAGGAAACAGTGGAACATGCAGGAAGAGTTGGTCCAATGAAAGATGAGGGGGTGGAGCTTACCTGTGGGGGGCTGGGCCCGGAGCAGGTATGAGTTGGGGGAGATTTGGTCCTCTGGGTGGGGCTCCAGCATGGTGTGGGAGGAGCTGCTGTCCAGCAGGGGCACCTGGCACTCCCTGATGGTGGGTGGGGCTGAGTGGAGGGGGGCAGAGGGAGGGGAGGGGGCAGGGGGCAGCAGGCTGGACGAGGCAGTGGAGGGAGGGAGGGGACGACCTAAAGGATGGAGATAGAAGGAGGAGACATACGTTACCAATGTGTGATATGACCCATGGGCGCAGCTTTACCGCTCATGCATATGTTACACAACACACATACACGTATTGCCTGTCAAAAGTTTGGGGTCTCTCAGCTTTTCAACATGTTCAACTGAAAAGAGCATGTTTTCTCTGCCAGTCTGCAATAACGTAACATATTGTTGCTGCTGTAACAAAGCTTTGGGGATCCAAAGTAATAACTGGTATAAAATAAATGTTCTTAAGGGGGAATTACACAAATTTTTAAAACTGCTGAGATAAATAAAGTCATTCTAAGTGGAATGCTGTGGAATGCTCAATTCAAGAGAAACTTGATACAAAGTCAGTATGGTTGACAGTGGTGGTGATAGGAAGTAGACCTCCAAAGTATTTAATGCTTTTACATTACAGTTTTATGAATGTTCTGAGATAAGCTATTGGCCACTTGCACGGCATTATTAAGCAAAAAGTCCCCAGATGATGCAAAATTTTAGCATCACCAAGATTAAATAGAGTTGAAGTTATAAATTTATATGCACCATAGCCACATCCTTCACAAGAAAATCACATTCACAAGAATTCTGAGTTTGTAAGTTTCTCTACAATGATCCATTTCACATAAAACCATTCTGAATCACTTTATTTAAATCTTATTATAGTACAAGTTTCACCAAAATCATGGAATTCTCCTTTAACACTTTTGATGCAAGTTAATGCTGTAGCAAGATTTTATTCCAAGTAATTTTGGACCATTTCTACTGATCTGTATGTTGTGAAATGGGCAAAGTATGTAAAGAGTAACTAGGTTTTCCAAATAGTATACATATCTGATAGAATGCTGTGGAATGCGCCATGTAGATATTGATAAAAGCGTAATGATTAATTAAATAAAATGCTGTTTAGGTAGTGCTGTTTTTTTTTGGTAAAAATTGCAAAGTTGTGCTGCAGTTCATACTGAGACAGACACTATGAATACTGAATGCAGCAGTAAATACCCAAACTATCAGCAAATGGCTGTTTTATGGCAACTAAATTGGGGAAAACACCTTTGTAGGTATTGTTTCTTACATAATTGAAAAGTATCAGCAAGAAAATCTCAAAAGAAGCCAAAGTGTCCTTACACTTTTATGGGCAGTAAATACATACCATAGAGTTATACACACTCACATAAACATTGCACATCCAAACTAAGCACATGTAAAACGTCACAGTCAGTCAAAACATCCACTATATGGTCCATTTTATATAGACAGTGCATAAAGCCCCCAATCAGTGGAGGAAAGGGTGCTAGTGTGGGCCGCATGGAGTGACAGGGCTGACGAGAGAGTTCAGGACAGCCATATGTAGAGAATGGAAACGCTGCTCACAGCACTTTTGTCCTGCCCAACTCCACTCTGCTGGAGCACTCAAACGCACACAAACACTCTCTTGCTCTATATTAGTCTAATACAGATGCCCTGCATGTGATTTCCCTAAGGACCCTGCACACACCTACATAATGTATGACTACAAGAGCAAGCCGTCACGAAGCCCGCACTTTTTCTCAAGGGCTGAAAGCCACAAGAGGGGCAAGTCATCATTTCTATTACAAGCGTCTTCAGGTTTTTCTATAATTGCACTGACGTTGGAGCCAAAACTGCAAACGATTTCTTTTCTCCCTTTTTTCACCCCCTAAGTAAGCTCACAGAGTGAGTCCTCATAAAAATTGATGAATTAGGAAGTTATTACCTTCCTTAATTACTCTGAGAAAAACAATGACGGTGAGAAATAAAATAGCATTTGGCGTCATTTATACCTGCTATGTTTTCTCTGTGCCTCTTCAGAACAACCAGAATGGGCAACACAGAAGAGCCACTTTTGGTTAAGAACCTTTCAGCAGATGGAACGAGTGCATAAATGAGATGTGTTAACCTTTTTTAAAGTTTAAAAAACCTCCATGCGACGTAAAGGTTCTACACCAACTGAAGCCAAGATCTTTTCGGCAGGCTCCCTAATGGCCTCGGAAATTGACTCTGTGTTGAGCTGGTAGCGAGGTGAAACAGTGTTGAGAACCCCTTGCTGTGAAAATGGCAGTGCCAAGACAGAACAGACAGCACAAATGCAACTTAAATGATATCAAAAACACTGTACAAATGCAACAATATGAAATAACATTTACACACAATAAAAACACTTTTGTTGACATGCTTGCTCATCTACAAAGACAAAAATCCACTTCCATTTTTGTATATTACATACATTTCCAGTACACAATTATATTCCATCAATATTAAAAAAAGAAGAGAAAGGGCCATAGATTAACCTCAAAAACAAGCAGAAATTGCATTCTGTGGCTACTGTGAAAAGGGGTTAAGAGTGCTGTCGACAGTGTTTTTAGATTATTGTCAATAGAGCTGAGGGCTCCAGAGAACTATATATCATGCTTCATCACTATAATTGGAATTAAGGGGTGGAGGCAATATTGTAACCCTTCAGAAGCCCCTGTGGCTTTTGCGAACTCGCACTGCACCCAGAGAATTTATAAGAAACAAACAGTGTGGCCTGCGTCACACTTTCATGCATCTTTCAACCCTTAAGAGCATCTACGCTTTCATGTAGTGTAAAGCTTGGAACGAGGGACTGGCGAGCGACTTTGAAAGAGTGCTTGTGTCAAAAGACCTTGACTGTAGAAGTACACTGAGACTACTTCACACAGTCACTCCATCTCTCTCTCATGCTCTCTTTGCAATTCTCTGTAACAGAGCTAGCATTCACTATGCTGAATGCATACAAAAGCAGAGCATCACTGTCAGCTGCAGATACACTGCATGATTGTCAGTAATCAGTCCTTCTGCTGAACACCCCTGACCTATATCGGCCTACAGAAGCAATGCCAGGCCACGCTGTGTGACACCCTCTCCGCCATACACACATATGCACATGCATACACATGGAGAAAACAGAGTGCATTCCTTTCCCTCTCACTTTAAGACAAGCTTTGACCTCGCACGCCTCCAGACGAATGCCTCCTATTGTATATGCTGAATTCCTGCTGTGTAAGGATGTATATGTGGTGTTAAGCAGACCCCAGGGATGCAGGCCTGCGTCCTGCTAGATAGTGAAAGGAAAGAAAAGCAGGAGAGGAGTCTATGTTTACAGCCAGCATGCAATTACTGAGATGAAAGCAACTCGATCCTGCCGCATCTGGGAAGGAATTCAGCACGTCTATTCAATATCCAAGAGAGAGAGAGGAAGAGAGAGTGAGAAACAGAGAGATAGAGTGATAGAGAGAGAGAGAGAGAGAGAGAGAGAGAGAGAGAGAGAGCAAGAGAGTGAGATAGAGGCAGATAGAGTGAGATAGATGGAGAGAAAGCAAGAGAAATGGAGAGAGAGCGAGAGAGAAAGAGAAAGAGAGAAGTGGAGAGAGAGTGAGAGACATGGAGCGAGAGATGGAAAGGGAGAGAGTGTTCACCATTTATTTGGCCATTTATTAGGAAAAAAGCATTTTACAAGTTAGCTTAAATACAAAAAAGTAGCTGAGATAGAGAATCAGGCAGTTTTTACCCTGGTTGCCTTACAATTATGAGTTCATTGTACTTGCAATAGTAAGTTAACAGAGCAACAATCAGTGATTTACATTCTATTAATTAATTTTATTCATTAAAGTTCACTGAACTCAAAATTTTAAAGCAACCAGGTTACTTGTTTCTTAAGTTAAAATGGTGAATCGTTTTTCATAGTGTAAATGCTTGCCTACAGAGTAATATATTTTGCAATTGTGCAACAACTGTCTGTGCAAAAAAGGAGAAAAGGCAAAAAGGCCTACTTCTAACTCTCTGAAAAAGCCTCAGTCACCTGTGACAAAAGAATGTAAAGCCACTACCTACTTACATACTGCTCTAAAATATAGAATAATATAATAAAAAAGGAAATAATTAAGTGCCTTTTGCTCTGAAAACACCAACATTAGAAGAAATACAAACAAAATTAATATAAAAATACATGATTTTATGTATCAGTGTTTTCACTTAATCATTTTAAACCTCTCCTTGTGGAAGCCCTGTATTATTCACCTCAATCAGCGTTTCATTAAGTTCAATCAGGTGTGCTGGCAGAATCGAGGAGAAATCTGGAACCACAACAGTGTTCTTCTAACTAGCTCAAAGAAATTAAACACCTTTTTGACAACAAGAATTTCTTTTACTGCATTAATGCTTATTTGAATTTATTCTAAAGTTATACGGTATTTGTACAAGCAAAACCAGAGTTATTCTCCACACAGATGATTTCAAACAATTTGCTTAGGTTCCTAGTCTTACAATAACCTTTCTTTCTTATTTTTTAACCACTGTTAAAGAAAGCATTCATGAGGCAGGCAAGAAATCAAGTGCCCTAAATCTTCAGATAGCTTGAATCCAGTCACTTATTTATTTCTTCATTACTTTTTTTTCAAATTTCAAATTTAATAATATTATAATAATATAATTCAATAATAATAATAATAATAATAATAATAATAATAATAATAATAATAATATTAATATTAATAATAATAACAATAATAATAATAATGATAAAAGAAGAAAAAGAAGTAGAAAAACAGTGGAACAAATTAAAAATGCTTTATAATTAATGTATTTCAGTCCATTTTTAATTCTTCCAAGCATATATGTGACAATCCATACACTATATATATTCACTATAAACTCACAATTACCAGCCTGTACATCCTAGTGTGTTACTATAATGATAGTTTTTAGTGCTAATGAAATGCAAGACAGAGGTGCTCTTTTGCCAGGTGAACACCTTTTGGCATAACAGCATGCGCTGCAGGTCTGAAAATGGTGTGATTTTTTTTTCCACCTCCCGTTGGTTCTGATTCGGAAAGCAACAGACTCTGAACCAGTAGGACTCCTTGCTGTATTGGAAACGAAATTACAATGCATCAAACATGCTTGTTTATATATATATATATATATATATATATATATATATATATAT